TGCTCCAACCAGCAAGAGCGCCACATCAACTACAAGCACTGCTCCAACCACTACAAGCGCTTCTACAACCACCACTGCTGCTTCAACCAGTACCGGTGTTGTTCCAAGTACAACCAGTGCTTCTCCAACTACAACTGCTGCTCCAACCACCACAGTCGCGCCAACATCTACCAGTGCTTCTCCAACTACAAGCATTGCGCCAACCAGCATGAGCGCCGCACCAACTACAAGCACTGGTCCAACAACCACCAGTGCTTCTACACCCACCATGAGCACCCCTCCAACCACCACAGTTCCTCCAACCACTAGTAGTACTTCTCCAACTACAACCGCTGCTGCAACCAGCACTAGCGCTGCTCCAACTACAAGCGCTGCTCCAACCAGCATGAGCGCCGCATCAACTATTAGCACTGCTCCAACAACTACAAGCGCTTCTACAACCACCACTGCGGCTCCAACCACTACCGGTGCTGCTCCAACTACAAGCACTGCTTCAACCACTACAATCGCTTCTACAACCACCACTGCTGCTCCAACCTCTACTGGTGCCGCTCCAACTACAAGCGCTGCTCCAACCACCACCAACGCTGGTCCAACCACTACCAGCGCTTCTACAACCACCACGAGCACCCCTCCAACCACAACTACTGCCGCACCAACCACAATCTCCTCTCCAACCACCACGACTACTGCTCCAACCACCACAGTCACTCCAACCACTACCAGTGCTTCTCCACCTACAAGCACTGCTCCAACAACCACAAGTGCTTCTACAACCACCACAGTCACTCCAACCACTACCAGTGCTTCTCCAACTACAAGCACTGCTCCAACAACCACAAGTGCTTCTACAACCACCACAGTCACTCCTACCACTACCAGTGCTTCTCCAACTACAAGCACTGCTCCAACAACCACAAGGTCTTCTACAACCACCACTGCTGCTCCAACCACTACCGGTGCCGCTCCAACTACAAGCACTGCTCCAACCACTACAAGTGCTTCTACAACCACCACTGCTGCTCCAACCACTACTGGTGCCGCTCCAACTATAAGCGCTGCTCTAACCACCAAAAGCGCTGCTCCAACAACCACCAGCGCTTCTACAACCACCACGAGCACCCCTCCAACCACAACTACTGCCGCACCAACCACAATCTCCTCTCCAACCACCACAGTCACTCCAACCACTACCAGTGCTTCTCCAGCTACTAGCACTGCTCCAACCACTACAAGCGCTTCTGCAACCACCACTGCTGCTCCAACGACTACTGGTGCCGCTCCAACTACAAGCGCTGCTGCAACCAGCACTAGCGCTGCTCCAACTACAAGCGCTGCTCCAACCAGCATGAGCGCCGCATCAACTACTAGCACTGCTCCGACCACTAGAAGCGCTTCTACAACCACCACTGCTGCTCCAACCAGTACCAGTGCTGTTCCAAGTACAACCAGTGCTTTTACAACTACTAGCACTGCTCCAACAACTACAAGCGCTTCTACAACCACCACTGCTGCTCCAACCACTACCGGTGCCGCTCCAACTACAAGCACTGCTCCAACCACTACAAGCGCTTCTACAACCACCACTGCTGCTCCAACCACTACTGGTGCCGCTCCAACTACAAGCGCTGCTCCAACCACCACCAGCGCTGGTCCAACCACTACCAGCGCTTCTACAACCACCACGAGCACCCCTCCAACCACAACTACTGCCGCACCAACCACAATCTCCTCTCCAACCACCACGACTACTGCTCCAACCACCACAGTCACTCCAACCACTACCAGTGCTTCTCCAACTACAAGCACTGCTCCAACCACTACAAGCGCTTCTACAACCACCACTGCTGCTCCAACCACTACTGGTGCCGCTCCAACTACAAGCGCTGCTGCAACCAGCACTAGCGCTGCTCCAACTACAAGCGCTACTCCAACCAGCACTAGCGCTGCTCCAACTACAAGCGCTGCTGCAACCAGCACTAGCGCTGCTCCAACTACAAGCGCTGCTCCAACCAGCATGAGCGCCGCATCAACTACTAGCACTGCTCCAACCACTACAAGCGCTTCTACAACCACCACTGCTGCTCCAACCACTACTGGTGCCGCTCCAACTACAAGCGCTGCTCCAACCACCACCAGCGCTTCTACAACCACCACGAGCACCCCTCCAACCACAACTACTGCCGCACCAACCACAATCTCTTCTCCAACCACCACGACTACTGCTCCAACCACCACAGTCACTCCAACCACTACGAGCGCTTCTACAACCACCACGAGCACCCCTCCAACCACCACAGTTGCTCCAACCACTAGTAGTACTTCTCCAACTACAAGCGCTGCTCCAACCACCACCAGCGCTACTCCAACCACCACCAGCGCTTCTACAACCACCGCGAGCACCCCTCCAACCACAACTACTGCCGCACCAACCACAATCTCCTCTCCAACCACCACGACTACTGCTCCAACCACCACAGTCACTCCAACCACTACGAGCGCTTCTACAACCACCACGAGCACCCCTCCAACCACCACAGTTGCTCCAACCACTAGTAGTACTTCTCCAACTACAAGCGCTGCTCCAACCAGCAAGAGCGCCACATCAACTACAAGCACTGCTCCAACCACTACAAGCGCTTCTACAACCACCACTGCTGCTTCAACCAGTACCGGTGCTGTTCCAAGTACAACCAGTGCTTCTCCAACTACAACTGCTGCTCCAACCACCACAGTCGCGCCAACATCTACCAGCGCTTCTCCAACTACAAGCGTTGCGCCAACCAGCATGAGCGCCGCACCAACTACAAGCACTGGTCCAACAACCACCAGTGCTTCTACACCCACCATGAGCACCCCTCCAACCACCACAGTTCCTCCAACCACTAGTAGTACTTCTCCAACTACAACCGCTGCTGCAACCAGCACTAGCGCTGCTCCAACTACAAGCGCTGCTCCAACCAGCATGAGCGCCGCATCAACTATTAGCACTGCTCCAACAACTACAAGCGCTTCTACAACCACCACTGCTGCTCCAACCACTACCGGTGCCGCTCCAACTACAAGCACTGCTTCAACCACTACAATCGCTTCTACAACCACCACTGCTGCTCCAACCTCTACTGGTGCCGCTCCAACTACAAGCGCTGCTCCAACCACCACCAGCGCTGGTCCAACCACTACCAGCGCTTCTACAACCACCACGAGCACCCCTCCAACCACAACTACTGCCGCACCAACCACAATCTCCTCTCCAACCACCACGACTACTGCTCCAACCACCACAGTCACTCCAACCACTACCAGTGCTTCTCCACCTACAAGCACTGCTCCAACAACCACAAGTGCTTCTACAACCACCACAGTCACTCCAACCACTACCAGTGCTTCTCCAACTACAAGCACTGCTCCAACAACCACAAGTGCTTCTACAACCACCACAGTCACTCCTACCACTACCAGTGCTTCTCCAACTACAAGCACTGCTCCAACAACCACAAGTGCTTCTACAACCACCACTGCTGCTCCAACCACTACCGGTGCCGCTCCAACTACAAGCACTGCTCCAACCACTACAAGCGCTTCTACAACCACCACTGCTGCTCCAACCACTACTGGTGCCGCTCCAACTACAAGCGCTGCTCCAACCACCACCAGCGCTGCTCCAACAACCACCAGCGCTTCTACAACCACCACGAGTACCCCTCCAACCACAACTACTGCCGCACCAACCACAATCTCCTCTCCAACCACCACGACTACTGCTCCAACCACCACAGTTGCTCCAACCACTAGTAGAACTTCTCCAACTACAAGCGCTGCTCCAACCACCACCAGCGCTGCTCCAACCACCACCAGCGCTTCTACAACCACCACGAGCACCCCTCCAACCACAACTACTGCCGCACCAACCACAATCTCCTCTCCAACCACCACGACTACTGCTCCAACCACCACAGTCACTCCAACCACTACCAGTGCTTCTCGAACTACAAGCACTGCTCCAACAACCACAAGCGCTTCTACAACCACCACTGCTGCTCCAACCACTACTGGTGCCGCTCCAACTACAAGCGCTGCTCCAACCACCACGAGCACCCCTCCAACCACAACTACTGCCGCACCAACCACAATCTCCTCTCTAACCACCACGACTACTGCTCCAACCACAGTCACTCCAACCACTACCAGTGCTTCTCCAACTACAAGCGCTGCTCCAACCAGCACTAACGCCGCACCACCTATAAGCACTGCTCCAACAACCACGAGCGCTTCTACAACCACCACGAGCACCCCTCGAACCACCAAAGTCACTCCATTCACTAACAGTACTTCTCCAACTACACCCGATGCTACAACCAGCACTAGCGCTGCTCCAACCATAAGCACTACTCCAACCACCACTGCTGCTCCAACATCTACCAGTGCTTCTCCAACTACAAGCGTTGCGCCAACCAGCATGAGCGCCACACATACTATAAGCATTGCTCCAACAACCACCAGCGCTTCTTCACCCACCATGAGCACCCCTCCAACCACCACTGCTGCTCCAACCTCTACTGGTGCCGCTCCAACTACAAGCGCTGCTCCAACCACCACCAGCGCTGCTCCAACCACCACCAGCGCTTCTACAACCACCACGAGCACCCCTCCAACCACAACTACTGCTGCACCAACCACAATCTCCTCTCCAACCACCACGACTACTGCTCCAACCACCACAGTCACTCCAACCACTACCAGTGCTTCTCCAACTACAAGCACTGCTCCAACAACCACAAGTGCTTCTACAACCACTACCGGTGCCGCATCAACTACAAGCACTCCTCCAACCACCACAGTCACTCCAACAACTACCAGTGCTTCTCCAACTACAAGCACTGCTCCAACAACCACAAGTGTTTCTACAACCACCACTGCTGCTTCAACCACTACCGGTGCTGCTCCAAGTACATCCAGTGCTTCTCCAACTACAACTGCTGCTCCAACCACCACAGTCGCGCCAACATCTACCAGTGCTTCTCCAACTACAAGCGTTGCGCCAACCAGCATGAGCGCCGCACCAACTACAAGCACTGGTCCAACAACCACCAGTGCTTCTACACCCACCATGAGCACCCCTCCAACCACCACAGTTCCTCCAACCACTAGTAGTACTTCTCCAACTACAACCGCTGCTGCAACCAGCACTAGCGCTGCTCCAACTACAAGCGCTGCTCCAACCAGCATGAGCGCCGCATCAACTACTAGCACTTCACCAACCACTACAAGCGTTTCTACAACCACCACTGCTGCTCCAACCACTACTGGTGCCGCTCCAACTACAAGCGCTGCTCCAACCACCACGAGCGCTCCTCCAACCACCACCAGTGCTTCTACAACCACCACGAGCACCCCTCCAACCACAACTACTGCTGCACCAACCACAATCTCCTCTCCAACCACCACGAGCACCCCTCGAACCACCACAGTCACTCCATTCACTAACAATACTTCTCCAACTACAACCGATGCTACAACCAGCACTAGCGCTGCTCCAACCATAAGCACTACTCCAACCACCACTGCTGCTCCAACATCTACCAGTGCTTGTCCAACTACAAGCGTTGCGCCAACCAGCATGAGCGCCACACATACTATAAGCACTGCTCCAACAACCACCAGCGCTGCTCCAACCACCACCAGCGCTTCTACAACCACCACGAGCACCCCTCCAACCACAACTACTGCTGCACCAACCACAATCTCCTCTCCAACCACCACGACTACTGCTCCAACCACCACAGTCACTCCAACCACTACCAGTGCTTCTCCAACTACAAGCACTGCTCCAACAACCACAAGTGCTTCTACAACCACTACCGGTGCCGCATCAACTACAAGCACTCCTCCAACCACCACAGTCACTCCAACAACTACCAGTGCTTCTCCAACTACAAGCACTGCTCCAACAACCACAAGTGTTTCTACACCACCACTGCTGCTTCAACCACTACCGGTGCTGCTCCAAGTACATCCAGTGCTTCTCCAACTACAACTGCTGCTCCAACCACCACAGTCGCGCCAACATCTACCAGTGCTTCTCCAACTACAAGCGTTGCGCCAACCAGCATGAGCGCCGCACCACTACAAGCACTGGTCCAACAACCACCAGTGCTTCTACACCCACCATGAGCACCCCTCCAACCACCACAGTTCCTCCAACCACTAGTAGTACTTCTCCAACTACAACCGCTGCTGCAACCAGCACTAGCGCTGCTCCAACTACAAGCGCTGCTCCAACCAGCGAGCGCCGCATCAACTACTAGCACTTCACCAACCACTACAAGCGTTTCTACAACCACCACTGCTGCTCCAACCACTACTGGTGCCGCTCCAACTACAAGCGCTGCTCCAACCACCACGAGCGCTCCTCCAACAACCACCAGTGCTTCTACAACCACCACGAGCACCCCTCCAACCACAACTACTGCTGCACCAACCACAATCTCCTCTCCAACCACCACGAGCACCCCTCGAACCACCACAGTCACTCCATTCACTAACAATACTTCTCCAACTACAACCGATGCTACAACCAGCACTAGCGCTGCTCCAACCATAAGCACTACTCCAACCACCACTGCTGCTCCAACATCTACCAGTGCTTGTCCAACTACAAGCGTTGCGCCAACCAGCATGAGCGCCACACATACTATAAGCACTGCTCCAACAACCACCAGCGCTTCTTCACCCACCATGAGCACCCCTCCAACCACCACTGCTGCTCCAACCTCTACTGGTGCCGCTCCAACTACAAGCGCTGCTCCAACCACCACCAGCGCTGCTCCCACCACCACCAGCGCTTCTACAACCACCACGAGCACCCCTCCAACCACAACTACTGCTGCACCAACCACAATCTCCTCTCCAACCACCACGACTACTGCTCCAACCACCACAGTCACTCCAACCACTACCAGTGATTCTCCAACTACAAGCACTGCTCCAACAACCACAAGTGCTTCTACAACCACTACCGGTGCCGCTTCAACTACAAGCACTCCTCCAACCACCACAGTCACTCCAACCACTACCAGTGCTTCTCCAACTACAAGCACTGCTCCAACAACCACAAGTGTTTCTACAACCACCACTGCTGCTACAACCACTACCGGTGCCGCTTCAACTACAAGCACTGCTCCAACCAGTACAAGCGCTTCTACAACCACCACTGCTGCTCCAACAAGTACCAGTGCTTCTCCAACTACAAGCGTTGCGCCAACCAGCATGAGCGCCGCACCAACTACAAGCACTGGTCCAACAACCACCAGTGCTTCTACACCCACCATGAGCACCCCTCCAACCACCACAGTTCCTCCAACCACTAGTAGTACTTCTCCAACTACAACCGCTGCTGCAACCAGCACTAGCGCTGCTCCAACTACAAGCGCTGCTCCAACCAGCATGAGCGCCGCATCAACTACTAGCACTGCACCAACCACTACAAGCGCTTCTACAACCACCACTGCTGCTCCAACCCCTACCGGTGCCGCTCCAACTACAAGCACTGCTTCAACCACTACAATCGCTTCTACAACCACCACTGCTGCTCCAACCTCTACTGGTGCCGCTCCAACTACAAGCGCTGCTCCAACCACCACGAGCGCTCCTCCAACAACCACCAGCGCTTCTACAACCACCACGAGCACCCCTCCAACCACAACTACTGCTGCACCAACCACAATCTCCTCTCCAACCACCAGGACTACTGCTCCAACCACCACAGTCACTCCAACCACTACCAGTGCTTCTCCAACTACAAGCACTGCTCCAACAACCACAAGCGCTTCTACAACCACCACTGCTGCTCCAACCACTACTGGTGCCGCTCCAACTACAAGCGCTGCTCGAACCACCACGAGCACCCCTCCAACCACAACTACTGCCGCACCAACCACAATCTCCTCTCCAACCACCACGACTACTTCTCCAACCACCACAGTCACTCCAACCACTACCAGTGCTTCTCCAACTACTAGCACTGCTCCAACCACTACAAGCGCTTCTGCAACCACAACTGCTGCTCCAACCACTACTGGTGCCGCTCCAACTACAAGCGCTGCTGCAACCAGCACTAGCGCTGCTCCAACTACAAGCGCTGCTCCAACCAGCATGAGCGCCGCATCAACTACTAGCACTGCTCCAACCACTACAAGCGCTTCTACAACCACCACTGCTGCTCCAACCACTACTGGTGCCGCTCCAACTACAAGCGCTGCTCCAACCACCACCAGCGCTTCTACAACCACCACGAGCACCCCTCCAACCACAACTACTGCCGCACCAACCACAATCTCTTCTCCAACCACCACGACTACTGCTCCAACCACCACAGTCACTCCAACGACTACAAGCGCTTCTACAACCACCACGAGCACCCCTCCAACCACCACAGTTGCGCCAACCACTAGTAGTACTTCTCCAACTACAAGCGCTGCTCCAACCACCACCAGCGCTGCTCCAACCACCACCAGCGCTTCTACAACCACCACGAGCACCCCTCCAACCACAACTACTGCCGCACCAACCACAATCTCCTCTCCAACCACCATGACTACTGCTCCAACCACCACAGTCACTCCAACCACTACCAGTGCTTCTCCACCTACAAGCACTGCTCCAACAACCACAAGTGCTTCGACAACCACCACAGTCACTCCAACCACTACCAGTGCTTCTCCAACTACAAGCACTGCTCCAACAACCACAAGTGCTTCTACAACCACCACTGCTGCTCCAACCACTACCAGTGCTTCTCCACCTACAAGCACTGCTCCAACAACCACAAGTGCTTCTACAACCACCACAGTCACTCCAACCACTACCAGTGCTTCTCCAACTACAAGCACTGCTCCAACAACCACAAGTGCTTCTACAACCACACAGTCACTCCTACCACTACCAGTGCTTCTCCAACTACAAGCACTGCTCCAACAACCACAAGTGCTTCTACAACCACCACTGCTGCTCCAACCACTACCGGTGCCGCTCCAACTACAAGCACTGCTCCAACCACTACAAGCGCTTCTACAACCACCACTGCTGCTCCAACCACTACTGGTGCCGCTCCAACTACAAGCGCTGCTCCAACCACCACCAGCGCTGCTCCAACAACCACCAGCGCTTCTACAACCACCACGAGTACCCCTCCAACCACAACTACTGCCGCACCAACCACAATCTCCTCTCCAACCACCACGACTACTGCTCCAACCACCACAGTTGCTCCAACCACTAGTAGAACTTCTCCAACTACAAGCGCTGCTCCAACCACCACCAGCGCTGCTCCAACCACCACCAGCACTTCTACAACCACCACGAGCACCCCTCCAACCACAACTACTGCCGCACCAACCACAATCTCCTCTCCAACCACCACGACTACTGCTCCAACCACCACAGTCACTCCAACCACTACCAGTGCTTCTCGAACTACAAGCACTGCTCCAACAACCACAAGCGCTTCTACAACCACCACTGCTGCTCCAACCACTACTGGTGCCGCTCCAACTACAAGCGCTGCTCCAACCACCACGAGCACCCTCCAACCACAACTACTGCTGCACCAACCACAATCTCCTCTCTAACCACCACGACTACTGCTCCAACCACAGTCACTCCAACCACTACCAGTGCTTCTCCAACTACAAGCACTGCTCCAACAACCACGAGCGCTTCTACAACCACCACGAGCACCCCTCGAACCACCAAAGTCCCTCCATTCACTAACAGTACTTCTCCAACTACACCCGATGCTACAACCAGCACTAGCGCTGCTCCAACCATAAGCACTACTCCAACCACCACTGCTGCTCCAACATCTACCAGTGCTTCTCCAACTACAAGCGTTGCGCCAACCAGCATGAGGGCCACACATACTATAAGCACTGCTCCAACAACCACCAGCGCTTCTTCACCCACCATGAGCACCCCTCCAACCACCACTGCTGCTCCAACCTCTACTGGTGCCGCTCCAACTACAAGCGCTGCTCCAACCACCACCAGCGCTGCTCCAACCACCACCAGCGCTTCTACAACCACCACGAGCACCCCTCCAACCACAACTACTGCTGCACCAACCACAATCTCCTCTCCAACCACCACGACTACTGCTCCAACCACCACAGTCACTCCAACCACTACCAGTGCTTCTCCAACTACAAGCACTGCTCCAACAACCACAAGTGCTTCTACAACCAC